CCCAACGGCAGCAGTTACAGCCTGGCTTTTTGTGGCAGCCTGTGAGAGGTGCAGGAGGGCAGGTCTGGTGGCTTTGCTGGCAAGAGCTGACTGCTGCTTCAGACCAGAGATGTGGTAGGGGTGGCATGCCAGCTGCTGCCACTGGATTGGGATGGGAACAGAATGGAACAGCAAGGATCTGACTTCCTCAGCTGTTGTACAGGCCTACTGCAATGTACATGGGAATTACATGAACGTATGTAGACCATTTATAGAAGTGCTGATTAAGTTTAGGAGCAACAACTTTGAACTATCCGCCAAGAGCAGAAACCATTCCTTTGTGCATTGTCAGCCTTAAGGAACTCAAATCTGGAACTATTTTACTAATCTTTCAGATGTCTGAGTTTAATATAGAGATTAGAGAGGGTAAAGTTAGGGCAGAGCTGATCCCAACTGGCAGGCTGTTTGAAGAAGGAAGTTGTGAATTAGCTTTGATCCAACACATTTGAAATATATATTCAGTTATGTCTAACACCAGATGGGTACAGCTAGAAAAAGAGGCTGGCTGCATACCTCATTTACAATATACCAATCTCAATGTAATTTAAAAATAGCAAAGTACTCTTCTGGTTGTGCTTGCTGATCATGCTCTCTCACCCGTTTCTCAACCCCTACCCTGGCCCTTATAATCTAGGAGTGGCTGGAGCACAGCTCACTGTAGTCCCTTCACTCCTCTCCCACAAGCAAAACGAGATCGCTAGAGCCTAGATATCCTGCTTGAACCAGGATTCCCTCTCACTTCCAAGGAATACTTCTACAGAAAATTGTGATAAACAGGAAAAAATTCCCTTAAGAATTCTGTAACAATTTGTTTAGCAAGAGAAACAGACACTTAGTGTGTGGAAATTCCCTCTCTTGACCTTTACGAGGTGAAAGGTGAGGGCAATACAGAGAGTTATGGCAGCAGAGGACAGGGAGTACCAAATGTCATTGTGCTGGGTAAGAATTTATGTCATTAGATACGTCTGGAGGAAAGGATTAACTGAGCCTGAGTCAACTTTGCTCAAACTGCAAGGATATCTCTGTTTATAAACCACGTCTGCAGTACAAACAGTGACTGACTCATTAAGGCAAGTACGCATCAGGTTCAGTCTTAAACAGCAGTTTAAGACAAGATTGAATGATTTTAGATTTTATGGGAGGTTTTCGGTTTTCTTCTATTTTCTGGATTATATAGCAAACATAATTTCCATTCTATAATATCTTTTAATTAATCCAGCAAAACCAAAACAACAATGTATTACCACTCTGAATTCAAAACACTACACTACACTAGGTACTGAGAAAATTAACCCCATCTTGGCTAAAACCAGGACATTAGTCAACTTTTGTGTCTAATTAAAAATGCTGCAGTAAGGAAGCAAAGGGCTGAAAAGAGGTACTGGCTAATGCCTAGTGTTGCAGTTTTACGGACCCTGTGTGTGCAGTGCCTTCAAATCAGATGATATCACCATTCCCTATCCCTCAAAAAAATCTTAGTTCCCACCCTCATGCTGCCTCCTTTTTTTCAGTAGTTGATGCAGCCACATGGTGATTTCTACCAGGAAAGAGATCTAGTATAAGACCGACCTGTAAAAAAAGGAGACTGTAATTACAAACCAACAGTGTCATATACCAGAGAAATTGCCACAGAATGGTCCTGTAAATCTACCAAAGCAGTAATATTTATGATGATCTGCTAAGTAAGTGCTGACTGTGAGGACTGAAGTTGCCTGGCACTACTGGAAGTCACATATCTAGTCTTCTAGAATGTCACAAGACTTCGGGAATTAAGTGAGTAAAAATCATTCCTTCAACTTCTGTGTTTATTCCTTCACCTCTCATCCCTCAAGATACTTGTGTGTCATGTCCACACTACCCAGCCCCTTCCCATCATGCCTAAGGAATGCCTAAATGGAATTACTAATGTTGGCTTGTTTGAAAAAGAGAGGAATATCTTATCAATGCTTTCTTATTTTAACCGTAAGACTGTGAGTTAGCTAGAGTCGATCTTCAATGAAACAGCTGCAGTTCTGAAAACTAAATCATAAGGTTGAACAGTAGTTTTGTTAAATTTAAATAAAGACCAGCATGCATTTAAATTACCATATTATTGTCACATAAATCTTAGGCCTTCTCCTGTGTTTAACAATGCCCTTTATTTTGCTGTTCTCTCTAAATCACATAAGGGACTGTTGTGGTTTAACACCAGGCAGCAGGCAACAACCATGCAGCCACTCACACTCCCTCCTCTCCCCTTCCCTGCTCTGGTGGAATGGGGAGGAGAAACCAAAGTAAAATATATAGGTTGAGATAAGAACAGTTTAATACTTGAGAACAAAATGAGATAAAATACTAATGGATAATAAAAAGAGAAAGAAAACCCCAAACCCAACACAACAAAGCCCATGATGCACAATACAACTGCTCATTACCCACAGACTGATGCCAACCCCTGATACTGAACCCAGATCGGGCCCCCCCCCCGGGGAATTCCTCCCCCAGTTTATGTACTGGGCACGATGTTCTGTGGTGTGGAATATCCCTTTGGCTAGTTCAGGTCACCTGTCCCGGCTATGCTCCCTCCCAACTTCTTTTGTGTACCTTCTCACTGGCAGAGCATGAGACATAAGAAAGAAAAGGTCCTTGATTTAAGATAAACACAGCCTAGCAGAAACCAAAACATCAGTGTGTTATCAACATTGTTCTCACTCTGAATCCAAACACAGCACTGTACCAGCTCCTGAGAAGAAATTAACTTCATCCCAGGTGAAACCAGCACAGCGACATGGTCCAAAGAAAAACAGCAACACTTAAGAGTACCTTAGAAACAGAGCAACAACCTCATTTTCTTTCAACCATGCTGAATACTAACTATACCCTGTAACAGAAAAGTTTATAAAACAATACCCTGACTGGGTCTAAGAGCTGCAGTACTGAACCCTTGAAAAGAACAGGGACTGACTCCTATCTGGAAACTTAAAATAATTTAGCTTTTTGAGAAGTAAAACACGGGCTGGGCAGCTTCTAACAGGTTCTCTTGGAACAGTGCTCCTGCATTACCTCTCCAGTCGAACAGAAGAGGTCACTGAAGAGTCACAGCATGCCCCTCTTCTTCAGAATGGGCCTGTCATGGTGTCCTCGCCAGTCAGCTTGAGCTCAGCAGACTTCACTCTTGTCTGTTTCCATCTTTTGTGCCCTGCCTCCCACTTCTCTTGCATTATTTCTCCTCTCCATCCTTTCAGATCTACACTATGTTTCCCTATGTACACTGAAAAACTTAATAAAGCAGCTCAGGTCTGCCACTCCACGTTTTCCATTCCGGCATGAGGGTAGGAGCCTCCAAAAGAGGTTCTATTGTGGCAGTCAGTTCTCAAAGGACACACTGCAGCATTCAGGGAGGTCAGCATTCACAGATGGGGGACTACTTGGCAGCAACACCAGTAACCAGAAAAGCAATACATGAGCAGATTCCTGTGGCCTTCCCTTCCCTCATCTGGAAGAACAGTTTGGAGACAGAAGAAAGGATTGCTCTGCTTTGTGGGTTTCTTTCTGTTTTTAGCAGTCTTGGAAAAAAGAGTAAGAAAACAAGAATACATGCTTCTTGTCAGAAGTATCCAAAATAAGAACAAAGACACAGTCCTTCCTGACATCTTACAGCACAAGAGTTCGGAGTCATAAAGAAATAAAACAGGATTTGCTGGCAACCAGTATGATCTCACATTTAAACAATTTTTCCAGTTGGAAAACAATGCAAACTCAATACTTAATTCTGTAATTGTGTAAAAAGACATCTATCATTAAAAAGATTTAAAAGTATCTTAGTTAATTGAGAGGGTAAATATAGGAAAAAGTCTTTAGCAGTCCACATATCTAGAAGAGTATTTCTTTTGGGCAGAGAAGGAGCTACTCTGTTGGTTAGAGTGCAAATATACACTTCCCATGAAAAACAGGTACCATCCAAG